CCCGGTACCATGACACATCTTCCTGCTTCATCGACTTATTGTACCTCCTCGATCATATTGTCGCGGCTTTGTTGGCAAATTCGATGTGGTCACATGCCCAATGCATGTTATCTTGAAATGCGCCTCAGTCGCCTCACGCACTGTTTGGCCTCGTTCATAGAGGCCTCACCATCACCGCAGTCATTGCAGAACTTCTTTCCTTTCCGCGACACATTTTGACTTTAACGAGAGTGTAGCTGGCTGACTTGTGCTTGGAAAGCTGCATTCAGGGCTTGTACATGTCGCTCTGTGGGTCGGTCAGTCTCACGGCATTCCTCGCTTGATCAAAGATGCCGACGTACCGGCGATTTTCCACCTTTTGGCGAAGAGTTCGAGACAATTTCGTAATAGTTGTACCTTGTGTGGCCAATCTGGACCTAGCATGAATGTACTTCCGAGTCCTATGAGGACCATGGCAGCCAAAAAGATGCTGTGCGCCATCGGTGGCACCAGCGGGCCGATGGAGGACAAGTCATCCGAGGACGTCAAAAGCCTTGCGCTGTGACAGATCGATTCGATGACTGGAACAGCGCTTCGAAGAGCGCTTGTGTCACTACCGTCGCGAGGTACTTGCAGTCCTATACCGACCCCGAGGCTGGGGTAGTTGAGCTTGAGAATCGCCCTATTGCCTCTTCAGCAAAGCATCCTTGGGGCTCCGACAGAAACCCTTACGTATATGTGAGACTCAAACTAGCAAATCGGGAGCCGTCTTTCCAAGGCATCGATACGACGTCCCTGGCATGATCCATCATCGCGGTAGTCAAGTCCTCGCGAGAAAGTCCTTGAGTGCCTGAGTGTCCGGTCGTCTGCTGCAAGACTTCGGTCAGAAAAGACGTGGACTTTGCCTCTGGCCAGACAATGGTGTCAATCTTATTGTCGCCGTAATCTGCGAACCTGAAAATCGACTGCACGGACCCGCCGTACTGGTCGCCTTGGGAAAGCTGCAAAAAAGGATCAAAGGTCTCTGGGAAAGGAATTGCGAACGCAAGACCCGGGAGGTTTCGTGGATATCCTAGTTCTTCAATCTGGAGGCCACTGTTTCTTTGTCAATTCGGGAACATAACACTGCAAGAGAAATCGAACGGCTAACTCACCTCTCCAAGAACATCATAGACCACCAAAGGATAGAGGATATCTTTAATTCTCTTGGCCGGACAATCCAGTGGTCATGGCTCCAAAAGTTTTCCTCGAGCCAACCAAAGGCACGGACAATCGTGACACATGATCCTAAAGTCATGTATGCTTGTTGTGGCATGAAGTGGTAAAGTTCGTACAGGCATACCAGGAGGTTCGCCTGGAGGAGGGGAATGGACAGCGGCACCTTTATGGCGACAAGAGTGCAAAGCGTCTTAGCGAAATGATACAGGCTGTTCTGCATCGAGGATCCTGTATCTTCTTCCGGTTCCCGGACGATCAGAAACATGGTCAATAACAACAGCCCAGTCTCGGCAGAGGGCTCTGACCACATCTGCTCGAATCGTGGTTCGAATCCTGCTCGTTCGACGATAGTGAACCAAGTATTGATCGTATCAAAGTAGTATCGCACTATGCTTTCGGACGTCAACCGGTCCCCCACAATTTCTGTAACGCTTCTGGAAACGAAATGATGGATGTCTTCTGTCGTCCCCAGGGACGCAAACAGCGCCGGATACATCGCAGGCCCACGCCGGGTTTCCAAAAACGGATTCAAAGCAAAAGCACCTTGGGAATCCAAGTTTCCAACTGTTCCGAGGCTCGTTTGGACGAAAATTTCCGCCGGACGGGTTACCATTGGATCGTCTTCATGTTGACAGAACTCGAGAGAGCTGCGGAGCAACGATAAGCCCATGTCATGAATCGGTCCCCCTTCAGGCCTCGAGTACAACCTACTATGTGCATCTTCCACAGCTTGGAAGCTTTTTGTCACACTTCTTCTTCTTCCGACGACAATTAAAGCAGACTCTCGAAGACCTTGCGCCCCCATCTGATGATGGCGATGGGGAATCGGAGGCTGGTGGCCCTAGCGAACTCGAACTCGAGCCCTGCATCTTCGTGATAAGGAGGTGCTGTCAAGACAACTGGCCAAAAGCAAAAAATTGTTGAGACTGACGATATCCTACTCCAACATATCCGGCACATGGCTGCGTGGTCCTTTTCAATCATTGACAAGTGCAATGTCGAGGACAGCATCAGCAGCAGCGGGTATAAGCAGCCCTCTATCCCGGCCCACCCCTGTACCCTCCGCCGAGAGCACTTGACACAATCATGGATCACGCCCAACACAATCGGCTTGCATGCTTATGCGAAACGTCGAAGGCACAGCTGCTCAGCCCGCCCAAGCGATTCCACCGAAATTGCGGTGTACCTTGTTTCCATGTTTACAAGTCCTGACCCAACACAACACAATCTGCTATGTTCAGACGGATCCTAGGAATCCTAACGAATAGGGCTCATCGACTATTTTAGGGCCCTACGGACATTCCCTACGCTCGGTAGAACTGCCACAGGGCCGGAGAATTCAGGATAACAAGCGCAAGTGCGCCAGATGTGTCTGCTGGTACCCCTGGTTGACTGCTGTAGCAGGGCTGAAGCGTCTCTTGGCGCAGCAACGTCATCCAGCGGGTGGTTTCCATTGCCGGAGACAAGACGTATAGCAGAATTCTGAAATCTGGGGACACATAAGATTATTCAAAGAACACGATCGTGATTCGCTAAGTAGCGAGTGTCCTATTGATTCAGCGGTATGCATGCACTTTTCTCTACTCTGCATCACTCAGCACCATTGGGATGTTAATTCTGCATCAGCCAATATTCACGGTCACAATCCTCATCCTCCACCATACAACCCATGTGTAAATGCTGTGGTGGTTCGCGCATTTGTTAGGGCATGCGGAGAAACCCTGCACAATATGCTGGAATGTTGCGAGCTCCACAGCATCTGCTGTCCCAAAGACTCGGGCCACAGGGCGAAGCAAGCATCGACATGGTTGTGGCCGTTGGACTGTCCCATCCTAGCCCATGGGGGCTCATGCAAGTTCGGTCTCACTGGCCCTCTGAGCCGCGTGGAGCACCCTGGACGCTTATTTAGTTACTACATTGCAGACCGAGGTAAAGCATCGTTCGAGTTTTGCCAAGCGGTAGCCGGAGACGTACTTCCTTGGGTTACCTCAATTTTCTGAACATGATGCGGCTGGGGGTCATCCACCCAACAACATAACCACCATTTGGCCCAGCCTCACGTCAGCTTCTCCATCAGCAACCCATGGTCTCCGGCCCTCGAGATCTGGCCCGCGGATGCGACCTGTCTGTAGGTGCTCCACCAAACATTCCTGTCATTGGTACACCTCCATTTTCTGTTTTTGAAACCTGCCGCGCTCACTTGCATTTCTGAGCCAGTGGTAGCTGAGCTAGTCTCCGAGCTTTCGATGGATGGTATTACTTGGCACTTCCATTTTCCTAATTTCGTCCCGCCAAGAAGTGGTAGACGTCTTCGGAGGCATCCGACCCATCAACTTGATCCACGACCTCTGGCTTCAAAGGTGGTGTGGACTTTACAATTGCAGTCTTCCGCCGCAACCCTCCCACACGGGACGCATGTCACTCATCCCTCGGCTCCTGCAGTGAGCTGCTTATTTACAAGCGCAACATCTGAAAATTGACACTCGCCCAATGAGAGACAAACATCTCCAAGCAACAGGGATTGGGCATGTCGAAACGTGGTTGCATTGCGTTATCGCCTCAGCCGGGCGCTCGGGCTTGGGTTTCATTGTACCGGTAGATTAAGGCCAGACAGGTGCAGGTGTGGTTACATTCCGTGACTAATTGACACAGCATGGCCCATAAACGGCATATGCTCAAGAATTATTAGTTGCATGTTTCAAGTTGGCATATTACTTCCGCAAGTCGTTTTCTTGGCGGATATTTACAGCGGCATTGCTTGAATCCTAAGCTACAGTAGTGCTACTTCGCGCCCGCATGTCGCTACAAGCGAAGGGACATCATCCACGCGAGGGCATGCTCGTGGCACGCTGTGGATATAATGCCATCACCATGGCCGGATACCGTATGTCAGCGAAGCGCAACTTCGCGACATGAGTGAGGCTCTCTGCTCATTGAAAATGAATGCCACTCGGTCTTTCTGTAGCTGAACTAACGGGAATTTGACAACATGACCTAGGTACGTACGGCAAAACTGGCGGGCTTCAGTTGCAGTATGAGAGTATGTATACCGAACGAAGGAGCCCGAATAGAATGTGAGTGTGCCCTGTTTTCTTATTATAGACTCTTACTCTGGCGTCATCAGCACTTCACCATTCCTCTCTATTTACAGCCATAGGTCCAAAAGACTTTCGAGAGCACTGTCCAGATGTCACACGCCTTCCCACTTCATCTGCTATCAGCTGCATTGCGAAAACAGCTGCTCATGAATTTACTACAAGTTCGATTACCTTCAAGACATAGGAACCTCGCCATCGGATGGTACCTCAATGACCCAATCCATTATTAGACCGGCAGTCCAATGTTGTAGCTGAATAGCACCTCCATCACAGCCGGCGCATGCGGCTAAGGGCGCGTTCTGCGAGTCCAGGATTCATATCGAGGGCTGTGAGGGTCAACCACAGCCCATCCATCGTCTCCATTATTTTTAAGCTTCAGTCGAATCGCTTCTGTTCCCGGGAGCGTAGGAGTCGTTCAGGAAGGGGCAGGGCCACCACAGGGATCGTATGTGGTGAGACTTCGAACCCTTGAGACTGGTCACTGGCTGGGGTGGAAATTTCAACAAGAAACAAGCTCGTCCAAAGGTGACGGGTATCCTCTCCTTTGCAAGGCTCAGGTTGCAGGGCTGACGGCAATCATAGTCTAGCTGTCTGTCTCGTGCCTAGGTTGTAACGTTTGTAACGAAGGCTTGATTACTGCTCCCCTAGGCCTACAGCAGAGATATAGAGCGAACCTAGCAAGCTTATATAAATATTACGTAATCAGCGGGGATAGCTCAGTTGGGAGAGCGTCAGACTGAAGTCTCACTTCTGTTATATATCTGAAGGTCGTGTGTTCAATCTACACTCACCGCATTCCCTTTTCTTTTTTGCATCTATTGATGCCCCTAGTATAAGCATTGTGACAGGAATCACCTAGTTCACGGCGCAGTGGCTGGAATTTAGTATGATTATTGTGAATTTACGAAGAGGTTCGCCTAATCGAAAGGAAAGGGAAGAGGAAAGCTACAGTAAGGCTGAAAACGGAAGGTAAGTAAAAAGGAACAGCGATAAGGAAAGCTTATCAGAAGGAGCTAACCCTAACCCTGTGTAGCTCCCGCTTGCCGTCTCCTTCACACTTCATAGCAGAAGGCTACAGCTTGTCATGACCCACAGTCAAGGTACAAGGGGACATGCAGGAAGACAGAGGAAAGGAAACCAACATGTAGCACAGCGCAGTAAAAAGGAACACAGACCTACCTGGGTCACGTAGCAAGGATTAGTCATTCCTTAGCTATAGAGACTATAGACATAGATGACATAGGCATCGATGAAGAGCTGGATATATAATAGGACATTCCCTTCACAGTAGATAGACATCTCTTAGCTCTTCAGTGATCAATCTAAGTATCATTCCACATGATATGAGTAACCTCCAATTGATCTCAGTGAACAATATTGCTCAGAATACCTTGAACCGCCTTGTTGGCATAAACCCAGAACTACAGTTGAAAGGTACCTTTTATGACAACCCTACTGTGGTCAGTACACAGCTACGCTGGAAACCTTCTTCCTTGCTCTTAGCTAAGGTGAACACAATTACACTGAATCTGCAGCTTTGCCTCTTCAACTCCTTCGTATCATGACACTATAGATATTTGAGAATTATTAGAGCAGTCCTTGATTAATAGTAATAAAGTTACTAGAATTAGTTATAGAGACAATAAGTCAGCAAAATAATATCAAAAATAATTGCGGTGAGTGTGGATTGAACACACGACCTTCAGATATGCAACTGGAGTTATTTGACTTCAGTCTGACGCTCTCCCAACTGAGCTATCCCCGCACATAAAATATGCTACTGGATTAATAGCTTAAGTAGCTGTTATGAAAGCTACATCCTATAATGAAGTAAGTAAAATAATCGATTGGCTGTCGATGATTACATTGTGTCTCTGCCAATATTGAGATGAATATATCATATCCGGAGAGGAATGAACTGACTTCGTGCCTACATGAAAAGCTTGAATAACCTTCTTCTTAGTAGACCTATTCCTATAGAACCTTAGGAGTTCATTTATATTCCTTATTGCTACTAATGCGCTTTACTGTTCTATGTGCCTAGATATATATTAAATCAGAGGGCAGGCTAAGCGACTTGTCCCTAGGGCAAGAGCTAGCTGCTCAAGAGTTCATAGGTATAATTCAAAGTATAAGGTCTTCATAACAGTCTCGTTCAGTAGATCTAGGCCTAGTTAGACGTGTAGGAAAGCATCAGGTGTATTGTCTATATTATAAAGTATATGTCCTAAGACAAGGAAGATATAAAATCTAGTAGGGACCCCCTAGTATTATAGACCTATCTATATTCACTGTCTACTGCATTAATATTAGCAACTACTGTCCTATAGCAAGTCCTAGCATTTTACTCATCAACTGCATCAACTCTTAAGATGAAGCCGAATTTAAGTTGCTTCTAGTATTCTCTATCTCTGTATTTGCTGTTTGCTTATCGTTTATGCCTTTGATCTCACTAGTGTCCTCATTAGCCTAGTTATCTAGATTGCTCCTAACGTTATTTACTTCCTTATAGTCGCTAGGAGCGACCTAGCTAACAGCGATCTTCTGTGTTGTAAGAAGACAATACCCCTGATAACTTAGCTCCCTATAATTAAATCAATAGAACGTGCTTGAGTTGCAATATAACGGGTCTTGAATAGTCCGCCCTCGATGCAGCTTTCTCTAGCCCTAGTGCCTCTTCGGAAATGACTTGATGTCTATTAGACATCCCGCCTAGGCAGACAACTAATAGACAAACCTCTGAGTTCCTAGCTTGCTCGTTACTGCGTCAGCTAGTAGAGCTGTTCAGCCTAACTACTAGCATATCTCTCTATGCTAGTTGGAAACGAGTAAGCAAAACATGCTTATATTTCACTTTCTATACCCTTATAGTCGGAGTCTAATCAGTGCATTGCTTCTTATTCTACTTCAGGCTATCACGCCTTATTCTTATAACTCTAGTATAGATATAGCCTTTATCCCCTATATCTATACTTTGAGAATCATCTATTCTATTCGTGTCCCCGTTATATACCTACCTACCTCTAGCTAGCCAGAGTGCTACTACGATCCACGCCTCGGCGATCCTTCGCTCTATAGCGCCTCTCATGATAACTCAACAGCCGCGCCCCGGCTATTCGCATTTCCCTCCCGCGCCGGGTCATGTGCCTCCAGCTCTAGCTCATGCTCCACAGGGTATTGATTTGGGCCGTCGACTAGATGATCCTGCGCAGCAAATTTGGATTCTTCCTTCTTCGAGCTATAGCGAGTGCCTAACCAAAAAGCGAGACAAATGATAGCCACGCCGCCAACGGCTCCCACCACAGCACCGGCAATCCAGGCCTGGCTACCTTGCCTATTCTGGGATGGAATCGATGTGCTGCTTGGTGGGAGCATTGATCTTATTTCGCTCGTTGCCACTGCGGTGGAGCTAGCAGTTGTCAAGATGCTTCTAGGGGTTGCTGAGTAGTCTTGTCAATTGTTTGCATACATCAGATCATCAAAACAGATACTCACCTGAAGATCTTGAAGTCTCCGTAGCTATATATACCAGTGTGCGATACAATGTACGTGCGCTCCAGAAGTCGACTCTGCAATCCCAATTTGTGGCGGAGGGAGTCCCGTACGGTGATGTCTCGAAGATAGTGAAGTCGACACAGACGAAACTGCCAGTGCTTCAGCGTTGAATTAGCCAACTATTCGCATGATTTCACACGAAATTCGCGGTAATATTCTCGGGCGCGAGGGGTGTTACGGACCATGATGAATACGATCCATCATTGAATGCCAAAACCTCGGTTGCACATGTGGTCGCGATGGAGCAGCCACTGCTTGGGCAGTCTCCCGCGTAGTTCAACCATGTGCTCCAGCCATTTCCGGCAGTGAGGGACTGAGGGCCTGTACAGCACCATTGTTAGTTCGCTGCGATATCCATATCTCGTATCTCCAGCCATATGCTTACTAGTAGAGGGTCCAAGAGCATATCCGATGAAATTAGAATTAGCATTTGTTAGTGTAGTAGTTTGTGCCAGGGTGGTTGCAAGAAGCCAGGGAAATATCTAGCGCAGCATAGTGTTATATTCCTGATGGTACATACGAGAACACTGTGGACATATCAAGAATAACAAGTAGTAATCATCAAGTTCCTACCTTCATAGGACATAGAAACATTTGAAGCGGGCCTTATGACCAAAGACTATGAGCAATTGTGATCCTTTTTCCACGAAGCTAGCGACATTTGTATATTACCTCACTAGCTACACCAATTACTGCAATCCGCAGGTCTGATAGTGTACTCGGCTAAAAATAGTCTTGATACTAATGCTATCTTGTGATAGCTATAGTATTATTGACGGTGCTAGTGCATATTATTGATTAAGCTAGAACGTGAAATACGTAAGTCTTGATTCAGAGTAAAGTAATTTATTGATGTTGTGAGGAAAAGATCCCTAGTGAGAATCCTATACTGGGAATTCTCTTAAAAGCACGTAAATAAATAGGTAGTTCCTTCCCCCTACTATATGGGGACCCCTTTTCGCTAGGGCTAAGACCCCGAGGACCTCTAACTCGTCAACCTATTTGAAGCGAAGCTATCGCTAAAGCTATTCCTCCTACTAGTTCGTCAAAGCTCGTAGTTTCAATTCAATTTCAACCTCTCAGCTATTTCAAAGCCTTTCTCTCAATAACAACAATAACTCAACCTGCTCCTATAGTTTCCTCTAGACTACCTGAACTCCTTCACCTAGAACAAACAAAACAGACAAAGCCTCTGCAACTATCTCATTCTCTATCTAGGTGTATAGGCAGGCATGCAAACTAGACGCTATCTAGGCCGGAACAAACAAACAGATAGGTCTTAGGACGTTCGGTAGCTTTCGAAACTCAGGGACGCAGTTAGTATATTCTTCGTCACAGGAAAGTCTCTAACTCGGTTAGGATCTTCAATCAATCGATCAAAAGGAGGGATCTCATCTCGTCAGGAGGTAAGTACTCAACCTAGTAGGGGAGTTTCTTTAGGGAGGGAATCAGTTGATCCAGTAGAGGGTATTCTCAAAGTAGGTAGCCTAGTCAGGGTATTTTCTCATTAGGAAAAGGTCCTCAACCTAGAGGGAGGGAAGTATAGTTTTAAGTAAATCGTATACGAAGGTCTTGATAGCAAGGCATTAAGAGCAAATCATCCTCTCTAGGGACTACTATGAAATATATAAGTCTTGATTCAGGGTAAAGTAATTTATTGATATTATGAGGAAAAGATCCCTAGTGAGAATCCTATACTGGGAATTCTCTTAAAAGCATATAAATAAATAGGTAGTTCCTTCCCCCTACTATAAACGCTACTTAATCCTTTATATAACGTCTATATCCCGAATGATAAGCAATAAGTACTAGACTATAGATCTCAAGGGGTCCTAGATTAGGAGAAGGGGCTAAGCTATAGCTTCTGCTAGGGCACTTATAGGATGCTATACAGCTGCAGCTAAAACGCATATCATTTCTCTATTAGCAATCTAGGCGTGCTACTTCTCAAGCAGCTTCAAAGTTTCTATATATAATAAACTCTCGATTGAAGGTAAATGTTATAACTGTCCTTCATTATAGCCTTATAGGGGAGGGTTAGTACTTGTAGTGCCTTCATAGGTCTATACTATATAGTATATACCTAGGTAATTAAGTAGTCTATAGGCTAGCTAAGCTACAAAAGAATAAATAGTAATATAATATTAAATAGTACTAGCGTTAAGTCTTACTAAGAATGCTTGTAATTGGATTAGTAAGTTGCTGCCTAAGGGGCTTATATAGTAAGAGTATATCCCTAGCTAACTATATTAAACTAAGTTATTACTATATAGCTTGCATATAAGGCGAGTAGTAATTGCCCTAAGGCTTCTTCCTCGATGCATATGCATATGTGTAATGATCACAGTATCGTTGACTAAAAAGGTACTTTACTGTGGTTCAGGGTTGATGTCAACAAAGAGGTTCAAGGTGTGCTGTGCAATATTTCCGACTGAGATCAAGAGGAGATTACTCCTATCAATGGTGAGATTGATACTTAGATTGATCGCTGAAGAGCTAACTGATGCTATCTACTGCTGAGAGAGTGTCCTGTTATATATCCGGCTCTTCATCGATGGCTATGTTGGATATGTTCTGATCCAACATATCCTGGATATGTTGGATATGTTCCTATCCAACATATCCTGGCTTGCTGGCTGATCCTGCCACGTGACCAGGGTGGGTCCCTTGTCACATCTCATGCGCTGTGCCGCATGTTGGTTCCCTCCCTTTGTTTCCTTTTGCATGAGCCCTGGTACCTCGACCGTGGGTCATGACATTATCCTCCTCCTCTCACAATCTTCGCCCCGAAGATCTCGATTGTTCTTGTGAGTATTCTTTCAACCTTCCTTGCGTGTTCAAGCCTGCCTAATTCGTCATGTCGTCCAGAGTCAAAGGTTCGCGTGTCTCGAAACCCTCTTCCTCAATTCCCAAAAAGACCCAAGACAGAAACGATCTGCTTGCTGTCATTCTTGCCAACTGTGTTGACATGCCTTCTTGTTCTTCCTGCGAACTGCGTGGCTTGTCGTCCTGCCAGGTGTCCGCGTCCGATTCTTCCCGTTGCGCCGAGTGTGTGCGTCTGGGTGCTTCGAGTTGCGACGTACTGGGTCCTTCGCCCGCCGATATCCGCAAGATCTCCTTACAACACCGTCGTCTGGAGGACCAAATCGAGGCTGAAGAAGAGCGACTTCGAGAGTCGGCCGCCAAGTTGGAGCGTTTGCGAAAACAGAA